AATGAGGGAGCCAGGGAATTGCATGCATTTACAGAGGAATCAGCAAAGAAATCTATCATGGGGGATGAGTGGAATGAGGGACAAACATTAAGCATTCACCACTTGAATTTGGAGAATCGGTTAATGTTTTGGATTTACAATCACATAATTTTACCAAGGCAAGGTTCTTTTGGGAAATTTAGTGGTCCGGATTGTGTGTGGTTTGCATATATTCTTAGCCAAAGGCGGATCAATTTAGGACACCATATTATGAGACACATGGTGTATTATAGGGGTAGATCGACACTCGCACTGGCGTATGGCACTTTGATCACGTTACTTATGGAAAATGCGGGTGTTGATTTGAGTGGTATGGAGTCTCGAGACTTATACAGTCACGAGCTTCTGAACGAGAGTTCACTGAACAAAATGGGGTATGTATTCAATGCAAGAACAAATTCGTGGGAAATGAAGCAGAGAAGGAGAAGAGGAGGACAAGATAATGAAGGTGAGGGGTTTGATGATGAAGAACATGCCGAAGAAACTGAAGAAGCAGGTCCCTCACAAGCTGCTTCATCTCGAGTTCCTCAGAGATTAAGCACACAGAGAGGAATGCAGCTCATTCTCGAGAGACTTACACGGATTGAATCGAAGCTCGATGATAACATTCATGAGTGTCAGATGGCAGCACCTATAGGTCTTCGAGGGAGAAGAGGAGATCCGTCTACTGCTGGCACATCCTCCGAACAGCAACCACCTGATCCCTTTTCACATCCGGACGCATAAATCCGAATGTTGCAGTTGTTGATGCCTGTTAAATTCTCGTTTTAGTGTATAAACATTGTTTGGAAGGTTTTATTAATGTTCTGACTTTTTATATATTTGAATATGTACATATAATGTTGACAGTAGATGCAGTTTTAATAGAAATGAGCATATCATAATTGTGATGATTTTGTTTGGTTGATTATGTTCTTGATGTGTTTCCATTGATAGCGAGCAATTTGGTAGTTCATAGTGTGCTTGAATGGCAATGTGTGGTTCTTCGGTTTTAATGGATCATTTGTATTTTATACAATTTGTGATTGTATATAGAAGGATTTTGAAGTTTATTTGATAGTAATGTATGTCTCATACTCCAGTCAATACAAATTATACCGTTGATGTTGATGAAAAAAAGGCAAATTCTGGAAAACCAGAAAAATGGGCTTAAGAGTTGAATATAGCAGTCCATATTCGACTCTCCAGGCTATGAGAGTCGACTATAAAGCATCAAGAGTCGACTCCCAAATTCCAGTGAGCGGGAAATGTATTTGCTACATCTCATAGTCGACTCTTCATATATAGAGTCGACTCTTTATGCCATTAGAGTCGACTCTATAATGTGATGAGTCGAATACCAAATTCCAGTAAGCAGGAATTATATTTGCTACAGATCATAGTCGACTCTCCATTATAGAGTCGACTCTTTTGGCTTTACAGGCGACTCTATGATTTGAAGAGTCGACTACAAAATTCCAGTAAGTGGTATAATTTTTCTCTACAGCACAGAGTCGACTCTTCTGGCTTTAGAGTGGACTGTATTATGTGAAGAGTCGACTACCAAATTCCAGTAGCATTTTTTCCCTTCATATAGTCGACTCTCCATGTTGAGAGTCGATTCTTAGTCCTTTACAGTCAACTCTAGTAAGTAAGATTGGACTCTTGGACAATTGGGGTTGAGAAAGTAAAAGAATTTCATACAAACTCTTAATAGTCAACATGAGAAAAACATAAGTAAGACAATGATACTACGGTTCTTCAATGGATCGTAATTTTTGAATGGCATCATCCCAATACTTTTTTTCTATGGTAAGACGGCTACCACTACGAAAAATCTTTGTAATTGTTTCGGAGGACTTAGTAGGGGCATTGGGTGGATGTGATAGAAATGGTGATCGATAACGATTCGAGCAACTTTTTGCAATATGACCGTCACGGTTACACAGTTGACAAGTTACAGCATATC